CGTGCTAAGTGGAAGGGGCGTGTGCAGTGGTTGACAAGACACTCCCCACAGGCACTGCCCAGGTGGGCAGGAACTGCCCCATTAGGATGGGTGCCGAGTGGCCCCAGTGGATCCACAGGACACAGCAAGGGGACTCCAGCACTGACCAGGCTGCTTGGAACTGCCTGGACCTGGACCCTCAGGGCCTGGTCCCTGTAGTTCCAGGCTCCATTAGAGACGGTCTCACCAGGGCTTCGCATGCTGCAGATTTCAGCCTCTGCTTTCCCAGCCCTGACTGCCCTCCAACCCGGGACCTCCCTCGGGACGTGTTTACTGAGGACCCGCCTTCCGGTCACCAGTAGAGAGGCTGCAGGAAATAACAGGCGACATTTTTGCTCCTGAGAAAATCCCGCCGAGAAGGCTCAGAAAAGGCTCAAGTCACTAAACCATCGGTGTGTGCCGGGATGCCACAGAACCACCACACGCACTGTGCGTCGGTGAGGAAAAGCAAGGGGCGCGGTGTTTGGCAACGAGTCCAGCCCCACTTGGTGGCAGTCACCTTGGCAACTTGCCCCTTTCTCCAGCGGGTGGTCCCTGGCCTCCAGGGTCCAGAGACTCGGTTCTGGTGCTGAGCATGACCCTCTCCATGGCAGCCACAGAGGGAAACCGTCGGGAGGGGTGGGTGGCACCAGAGAGAAGAGGCAGCGACCCCTGGGCCTGACCCGGGCGTGCTTGCTAGAGGTGGCACACGGCACCCTGCTGACTCCGGTGGGTGCCCCACTGCTGCCCTGGCTAGCTAAGCAAGCCGTGTGGCGCGGCAGGCGCTTTGCCACACGCACACCTCATGCACGGCTGAGTTGAGCGGATGCATGGTTTCCTGCCTCGCTTATTTTTGATGGTGAAGACGTGGCAATGTTTAAGCTCACGTGAAAGTGCTGTTCTTAGAGCCACTGCAGTGAGAAGGCCGAGGCACACGGTCCCACGTGCAGTGAGAGGAGGCAGAGTTTGAAGCTGAGCAGCCCATGCCATCCGGAACCCACCCGCCGGCCTGGGCCTCTGCCTTGTTAACCGGCAGTGAGACCAGCAGGGCCAGGGGGCTGCCAGGCCGGCACGGCCCCTCCCGGACCAGCCACCTGGGGACCCCACCTAAGGTTTCTCAGGTTGTTTCGTTTATCCCAGGGCCGGGAAGTTGTCCTCACTGGGACCTGCCACCGTTGGGTGGGCCTGGTCAGGAGCTAATGCTGAGAACGACCTCCAAGGGGCAAGTCTCCGGCACGGGCTGGCCCGCCCACCACAGCCAGGCACAGCAGAAGGGGTGGGGGACGCCCGCGCTCAGGGCTCACCCGGGTGGGCGACACCCCAGCAGTTACACCTCAGCGTCTGGTCTTGCCAGTTCCGAGAGGCCTAACCTGGTCATTCCTCTGCCACCCCCAGAGGGGACATTGGACTCGATGCCAGTTTTCCTTTCAAGAAAACAAGGTGCTCTCAGGTTGCCGTGCTGTCTTACAACTCCAGTCCCGGGTGGCCGCGTCCTGTTCGGCACCTGTCCCCAGGAAGGAGTCCGGAGGAAGAGGTGAGCAGTGCTCACTATGGCCACAGTGAGCCTGTGACATTAGGCCCCTGTGGCCCTCAGAACATGGACACGACCGTGCCGAGGGCGGCCCACTTCCGTGCAGCTGTGTTTACCGGGTGTCATCATCTGGCCACCAGGTAATGGAGGGCGTTTCCCGCCTTATCAGCCCCAGTTCCACCACCCCTCTTCTCGGACAAGCCCGAGGTGTGATGTCACGTGACCTGAGACACGCCGACGTCATGGCCATCCCCAGAGCTGTCCCGAGCAGCCCAGCGCCCAGCTGTTCTCGGACCCATGTCCACATCTGAGGCTCTGGGGCAGGGTTTTCCTAATCAGCCCCAGATCGACGTTCATGGCCAGAGGGTTCCTTCCGCACACAGAAAACATGGGTCACAGACACGGACAGGTCCCGTGAACCTCTGCCATCTCCAAAAAAGAAAACAATTTGCTCTGGAAGAGAAAACGCGTTCCGGAGAAGAGGGCAGAGCCTCTCCCATCCATGCTTCTCACCAAAACTGGCGTGGCTCCAGCTATAGCCACGGAGAGGAGCAGACACTCAGGGCGCCCCGGCCTCCCTCCTCAGTCGGACCGCTGAGCTGCAAGCTCACAGCTGCTGAGAAGAACGGCAGCCTGGGAGCACTGTGGAATTTTACCATCCCACTTTGGCGAGAAAGAGGTGATTACAACAGCCCAAGTTAGCACGTAATCCCATTAGTTGCACTGTAATTACGAGCTTCGGTGATGGAAGAAAGTGTACAATTACTATAGTCACATTCCGTGGCAGACAGATGACATAATTACTGCTCTGGCTGTGACACCCCCGCATTTATCTGCACCTCCTTCTCGGCAGGCCTGGCTCTGTAACAATGCTACTCGAAGGCAGCTGAAAGCATCTTTGTCTTTTTTGTTTGTTTTGGGTTTTTGCCACGAGGCACCTGTGCCTGCCTGTAGAGACTGGCCACGTGGGAGTCCAGTTCCTTATGCATCACTCCACCTGCCGCTGGCTTTGTCTGTACCCCCCGACCCTGAGAGAACGAAGCGGGATTGCGGTGTCAAGAGCCAGGCCACAGATAGCAGCACTGTGACCTTGCAAAGGTCACCCCAGATGCTTGGTGCCACGGGTGGACCCTAGTGGGTTCTCAGCAGGTGGCAGGGTGCTCCTCGCCTCTAACTCCAGGCAAACACTGCTGCGAACAGTTTCCATCGAACACTGGGAACGCCTGAGACCAACGCACAGTTCCTATGGGCAGTCTCTAGACACCCCCGTACTACGGCTTCGGGGATCCCTCAGCAGCTCCACGCCGACGTGGGGGCCACAGCACTTGCAGGAGGAGGGTTCTGCCTAGCCGCAGGGCAGGAGGGCGGGAGGCCACAGGCGATCAGTGGTGAGTGAGGCTGGGCACGGAGAGGGCGGTGACGGGAGCCGTGTGAACGAGACCACTAACAGCAGTGCTGTGCTCCCAGGCCGCACGTCCATCGTGGGCGAGCCTCTGCCGTCGCACGGCGCATTCTTAGTTTTTCATAAGTGGGTCGCACGTGGGCGGTAAACGTGAGATGTGGAGCTCCCCTGCCGCCTGCATACCTCTGGTGAGAGCCGTTACCACATGGCCTCCGCCCAGGGAGGGACAAGCCCTCGGCTTGTGTAGGACGAGACCCTCACCCACCTCGTCCTGGCTGACCCGCACCGCTCGGCTGTTCATTTCCCAGGCTTCACAAGGGCCGTAATCCAGTCACCCTGCAAGTTTACCCGAAGAGTAACCCACGTGGTGATGGGACTAGGCAGACACGGAGGTGCAGGGACTTAGAGGTGAACGATGCACACACAAGGCCCCACCTCAGGTTCGGGTCTAGAGGGAGTCCGGAAAGATCAGAGGAAGCCCAGGCTGTGGGCCAGGGAGCACCCCCGGCCAAGCTGCCCA